TAGAGGGAGCGAACGAGCTGAAAGAGCGATATAGCAATAGAAAGAGAACGCTGCATAAGGGCCCCTCTGTCTTTGTTTATGTGCGCATGTGCAGATCATGGAATATATGCGTGCGGAGCGTGCGCATATGTAGTAGATCGTGGAAAATTGTGTATCTCTGCTTGTATTTGGTTCTGTATGTTATTTTCTAGATAATTACATAACTTTTACAATTAGCGCGAGACACTAGTGTCTCTTGATTGATTACTAAGATGACAAAAAAATGCTTCATATGCAAAATAGAAGCATCTCCTATTTCCAATTGTAGTTTTCACTTGTAAGTACATATTAATATTTCTAACCTCAAAATGTAATAAAGTATATATTTAATAATAAATTATATTTCATAAGTCATTTCAAATATATATTTTATAAATTTTATAATTCTTAATACGAACAGGTTTCCGAAAAATGAATTAATAAGAAAAAAATGGATGGATGCTATAAATTTATCAACGTCTCCAAACTTCAAAACTACATATATATGCAGCGATCACTTTGATGACAAATTGTTTTATTATTCTGATGAATTGAGAAGCAGAAAACGATTACGACCAGAAGCTGTTCCGGCAAACATAAATGTAAATCAATCTTATTTGTCAACAGAGAATATTACAAAAGAGCTAGTAACAGAGAGAGTATTAGTTAGCAGTGTTAATAGACTAGAAAATAATATATTAAAAGAAACAAATTTAGAAACAAATAAAGATTGTGATAAAGAGATTAAGATATGTAGAGAAAAGATGCCTGTGAATTCTCTTGATGAAGGCTCTTTAAATGAGCAAGATTGTTCATATGAACTGAATAATAGTAGTGTAAGCAATGACACAAACAGTAGAAAAAGGTAAGTAATTATCTTTTACAGTAATAAGAAAGTATATATAAAGATGCTATAGATAATATTATTACAAAATATCACAATAGAAATACTTGATATTTTTATTTTCAATATAATTACATTAAAGATAAATGTAAAAAATTTGCAAATGTACAGAAAAAATTATACGTCAATCTGAAAATTTATTAGCTAAAAACATTAATACAAACATAATTATTAAAACATTAGAAATTTTGCCTAGTACAATTTTAGATGATAATAAACATTTTCTCGAACAAGAACCCTTTATGGATCACCGTAATCAATTAATTTTACTCATAATACAAAAATATATAGATATTCGTTTGAAACACGAAAATAATATTTTTAACGATCAAAGACAAAGAATACGAATGCAAAATAATAAGCTCACGATTTTCAGTGGGCAATAGCAAGATTTTCTATTTTTATAAATATTTATATAGTAATGTGCATATTTATATATTTTTATAAATATTTAATAATGTGCAATTTATTTTTGTTTGTACTGTGATTTAAAGAATGTAACTATTATATATATATATTTACTAATATATAAAAACAATATGTAATTGTAATAAATTTTATTTTATTATTATATATATCAGTATATTTATATACAATTCCTATTCAAAAAAGTTATATTTATAGTAAACTGTTTGCTGTAATAAGTTTGTATTTTGTAGAATTTTTCTTTAAGGTTATCTTTTC